GTTACCCCTATGTTGGTAACATGCAAGTAATCCAGAGTGAAGACAATTTAGCTTCAGTAGTTCGATTCGGTGTCATTGCTCTGATACGTAACACTCGGAGGGATGAACGCTTGCTATTTTATTCTTATTATTCAGTTGTTGCACTTTACGTTATTGTTCGTTAAATAACTGTTATTTGATGTTGTTTTAGTTGGATAAAGATGTTATATTCTTTACATTGAATATTTGATTCCTCCGCGTGGTTATGAAAGTTGCTGATTTTAAAAGATTAATTTATGTTGTTGTTGGTTCATCCAAGTTTAATGTGTTATGTATCAGTAATGAATATCGTTTTAATTTGAATTTGTAGCATCCTGATTCGGTTGTCGAATTTTTATAACTCTGACTTTATATAATTGTTGGATAGAATTGGGGTGTTACAGGTCCTCTAATGCCTCGACCTCGAACCGAGTTTTCACCTTGGGGAATGGGAAGGGGTACCGACTATTGGCCGAGAAATATCCCTAGAGATGTCAAATAAATTTTGAGTGAAACTCGAAATAAAAATTGAGTCCTTGAGAAACGAACTCGTGACCAGGAATAAACACCACAAAGCAGGTACAATATGAACAAATGACATGAATACATATATACATAGCATGATAAAAACGTCAAATCTACAAAGGTGCCAGACATAAGCACACACTACCTTAGAAATATCAAGAGACACGGATGACAAGGTAAAAATAATCCACTTCCTTCAAAGCACTCTCAAAATCACCTTCTACGACAAAGAAATTCTCTTGTAACAATTTAACCAGCTCCGTAAAAAGGTGGTTCTCTTGGTGCATCATATGAAGATCATCCTCGGCCTTCTTATTATTTTCCGAAGATTATTCTAGATACCTCTCCATTTATCTTATCCTTTTTTGATCAAGATCCTCGACCCCTTCCTTGACGATCCAACAACACTGGATGTCGCCCCTGAGCGAAAGTCTGCTTTTCTACAGTTTTAGACGGGGGAAGATTATGAAGAGGCATGTCCACATGAATTTATTCAACCTTCAGGGTTATCTTCCAACCGATGTTCAGGTAGAGCAATCTCGTCCACTCGAGGGATATTAGTAATTTTCCAAACAACCTGCCCGACGACCATACTATAAGGCGTTCCGTTAGGGGTGACAAAGGTAGAGGCTCCCTAAAAATAATTAGTGTTCGGGATTCTAACAAAATCAGTAGCCACCCATATCTATTTCCTTAATTTTTGCATGGCATCCTCGTTCTTCATCAAATCTACACAAAAAGAAAATAAGCATCAGGAGAGGTTAAAAAAGGAACATGGAAAATAAGGTTTTATGTGACTCATCAAGGATTCTTTTCATCTCCCTTTCAATTTTATATCTACCATCCAATGAATTTGAATGCACTTCTTTGGTCGATTTCTCGAAGCGCCTTCGGCTCAACTAAGCTCCTTGCAAAAATCCACCATGTGACTTTTCAAGTATAATTATTTTAAGAACAAGTCATCTTCCTTATAAGTATATGAACCAACCCCCATCAGGTAGTGGCTCTGAGTCGAATACTTATGCAAGATATTCAAAAAAGAATATAGAGAATAAAGGCCCAATCCACAGATCTTCATGTTAGCTTCATCAGTCAAAGGAGTTATCAGGTAAAAATGATTATTGAAATTCTTCATGCTTTCAGAATAAGCTTCAAAATGCCATATAGGTTGTCTTAAGAATAATGAACCAGAACCATTTGCATAGTCTGGGCTATTTGGAATCTTAAAAAGATGGAAAAATAGTGTCACAATCGGCTTGCCTCCTTTATGCTCGCGCGAGTGTAGAAGTATTGGGACAAACTCCTAACTCAAAAAATGTAAGTGTGAAGGGGAGATTATTATATGGTTCAAAACTCTAAACTCAAATTTGTTGAAAGGGATATGATATCCTATGATGAAGAACTATCATTCTTATAAAGGGATACTACATATAATATATCAGTTATAGATCATTTTATTTTCACCCATGGGAAACACCCGCGGTTGGTTGCGATACCCACATTGGTCAAAGCTTGGTCAGAGACAAATTTACGGCCAAAGGCATGAGTAAACTCTAATATGTTGGAATTAACCTAGTCGTCTGAAATATCCTTTCCAGCTTTCTTGGTCGAAATTGACATTATCACCATAATTAAACGATATATTTTGTTAATAGAATCAGTGCAATTATAGTAAAGTTCGAGTGATTTGTGCTTTTAAAGCCCCAGCGAGGGAACACAGAAGCAAATACATTTATAGGCTTCAAACTCAAAAGAAAGGATCGATGTAGCATGCAAATTGAACAACAACAAAAGAAATAGTTGGTTATGACTTAACACCATAATGAAACACTCCCAAGGAAGAACGATAAAGGAAACAAAATACTCTTTTTGTATATAACTTACAGCATAAAAGGCACGAGGGCACTTTAAAAATCCTTTGCACCCTCTTTAGACACCTAGAATCATATGATCCAATGCGCACTACCAAGAGTCATGATCTTCTTAAAAACAATTTGGAAGCGTTCAATCACTCTAATAAGGAGAATCATCATTACTATCTAACAATTAAAGACATGTTAGGCACTTTCTGCGTCATGTTGCGACTACCGAGGTAGGCATTTAATGCTCTCATTACCAAGACTATTGGCGTTTCGTCTGAGATTTCCCCACCTAAGATCTCGTGGCTTAGTAAAAATACATGTCACAAACCTTTCGTCCCACAAAGCATATACAAGAGTTTAGGGGGAACATGTTTTGGGTTGGTCGTGAGGCCCAAAAGGCGAAGGCCCAATTACAAGGCAGAGAGTTGCCATGCAAGAAAAATGCACTCACCTTTTGCCCTGCATCGTGGAATACCCTCATGAAAATGTCATGCTAATCTCCCCAAATCAATCCAACGGTTGACCGCACCCCATGTCATTCCACACACATGGAGTTACCAATTGTTTTCCATATTTAAAGAGTAAAACATACCACCATACATGTATTCAAATCTTTTACACAAAAACTTTATTTCTTACTCTCTTACTGACTTGAGTGTTAGAATGCTAAAATTACTCAACCTCTATACAATCACATCGAAAACATTAACTTATCGCAACAAATCAAAAATACATCCTCATTGATCACCACTTATTTTCAGAGCATAACATCAAATATTGCATTAACATTCATATAAAAGAGATAATGGACAACTTCAATGCACACCCACATGTATTATTACTTACTACAAGACAAATAAATGTAACGTTAGATATTTATTTTAGAAAATAATTAAAAAAATAATTTTAATAATTATTTACTATTATAACTTTATAAAGTAACATACAAAATAAAATATTTTATAATATTGAGAAAATTAAAGAGTTGGAGATGTTAAAAAACAAGTGTGAGAAAATCATGTATTGATTAGAAAAATAGAGATTAAATATTTTATAAATAAAAAATTCATACATTTAATATCTTTAAAAAAAATTTAATCAAACCATTTTAAAATTTTAAATAAATATATAGTGTTTCTTTAAAAGAAAACATGTTATTGATAAATAAACACCCGATAAAAAATCTCCTAAATTGATGACCCAACAATAATAATTTATATTGTTAGGTGGGAGTGTTTATTTATTTTAAAACATTAAATAGTCTTTGTTTAATAAAATTATAAATAGTTATCTTAAAAACCTTCTACTATATTTTAAGGCAAATGGATGACTCAATTCTTACAAAGATAAATGTAGTACAACAAAAGCATAAATAAATAAAATTAAGCATATTCTGTCAGAGTCTTTTATAGGAGACTTCGTTTGGTGAGAAAGAGAAAGAGGGGTAGAGATTTTCGCTTTTTCACTTTTTTTTCCTTTTACTTTTGCAGCAGTTAAAAAGGTTTTAAGATAAAAATAAGAATAAAGAAACACATTTATTATTTATTATATCACACCAATAATGATTTATTGTCCCCATCCCATCCTCCCCCTTTATTTTTTTCGTTTTCAATTGGCTTATTCACAAGTTCCCCAATGTTCACGAAATTCTAGATACCACGAGCCTTCTTCCTTCCTCCACATATTCTTACTTCGTTTTTATTAGACCTCACCATACCACAACAAATTCCCCAAATTATTTTACAAATTTTCTCTAAAATTTGGTATCCGTAAATTTTTATATACAAAAATGAAAAGTGAAATAAAGAGACGCTAGTGACTTAAACAATTAATCCAATGTTTCATTAAAAGATGAGAAAAACTTAAGAAAGGAAAGTTTCATCCTCCTTTGTCTCCCATAAAGCGACCAAAGCATTGTAAGTTGAAGTAACTCCACAAAGCAAAAAGATTAATTAAATTTTGTAAGGTGGGAAAAATAACTCCTCTCTGCACTTTCTCAGATAAACTACTACTCCTAATAATAAACCTCATTAAATAAAACAATAAAAGAAGAGTAATTGTTGTTAAAATCAAGACCATTAATTATAAATAAATAATAAAATCCTCATCAATGTGATCATAGCAGTTGCAGAGTACTACTGACATTTGGGAAATCGAAGCAAGAGAATCTCTTAACCATGCATGCAACCTCAGGTGTTTTTCCGCGTTTTCTAAATTTCACGCTTTTTTTAAAAATTATTTTAATCCATTTCCTAAGTGAAGCTTAAATTTTAAAACACTTAGATTTTAGAGATAAACACTAATTATATTTTTAACTATTTTATTTTATTACAGAGAATATAGTACTTACATTGTGTCCAGAAAGGCAAAAGAAAAGGAAAGAAAGAAAGAAAAAGTTGCTTCTTACAGAGATTTTTCCTTGTAAAACAAAAAAACAAGGACATAAAAACCAAAAATATTTCAAATGAAAAAATAAAATAAAATAAAAGAGCCTTATCAGAATTCAGAAATGTTCTCTTTATATTTTTAATTTTTAATTTTTAATTCAGGATTCAAAAAAGAAATTTAAAAAAAAAAACTGAACAAAATTTTGTTCTACGGTTTCTCCTTGAGCAGAGAGGCTAATCCGGTCACAACCTTCGTTCCTCTTTCAACACTCTTCGGTTTCACCGCCGGTAACTGCCACGCTGGACTCACCGTAACTACTTCCTCCGGCGACGCTTTCACTTCACCGAAAATCAGCTCAAGTTCACCAGATTCACTATTCGTCTCTTGCGTCGGTGTTTCTTGAGCCACCGTATCGGCGACTTGCTTTGACCTAGCAGCAGACGGAGAGATCCATTTCGCAAGCATGTAATCGCGCTTCCTCCACGGCGGAACATGCATACCTTTCTTCTTCAAACTTTGCTTCGCCGCCTCTGAAACGATGGACACGATCTGCTTCAGCCGTTCCTTTTTCCCGACGAAGATGTACGGTAGCGATTGAAGGATCGTCTTGTAGGTTCCGGTAGATCGCGCGATCTCAAACTCCGATCGAAAATCGATGTCGATTATCAGTGCTTCACCTTCCACAATCGCATCGATGAATTGATATTCACCTAAACAAAACCGAATGAAAAAACGAGTGAGTAACCGTAAAGGAGTCATTGAGCGAGTCACTGAGTCAGAATGAGTCAATTACAAATCCGATTAATTATAATTACCAGAAGGACAAGAAGAGGTTTTCTCCCATTTTGATTTGCAAATTGAAGAATCGTATCCGAGAGAGGAAAGTGCTTCTGCAACTATCTTAATCAAATCTTCTTTCCTTTTGTAAACCTTGCTATTCTTCTCAACAATCTTCGTCGCATCGGCTAATAAATTCCACTCTTCAACTGTTGCACAGGGAATCAAGCTCTACAATAATCCAAACACACAATCAAAATTAATGAACACAATCGAAATCGAAATTGAAATAGAAATAATGAAAATGAATTTTAATTTTACCTTGAGCGAGTCATTGGAATCAGTGACAGATTCATGTGTAAAACCGTTGAGATCGAAATCGTCCTCGTCGGAGCTACTCGCGTTGAAGCAGTTACAGCGGTTACGACCGCATCTAAGAGGCGGTGGTTGAGGTTGCGGTTGCGGTTGTTCCTCCATGAAACTTTGAACCATTTTCGCCAAGCAAACAGAACTTGGTTCCAACTCAGCTCCTCCTCCACCTCCTCCTCCATCTTTGTTGTTGTTGTTCTTCGGAAACTGTTTCTCAAACGCGAAGAATCTCCTCAAACGCCACTTCGAAACTGGTTCGTTTCGAACAAGTCCGGTAACTTTCTCTGAATCTATGTCAATCGGTTGGATCTTCAATGGAGCCATAACAAAAATCTCAACAAAAAATTACTCTATCTTTTTCTCTCTCTACGAACTATACTTTTTTGGAGCTTCAAATTTCAGAAATTCATTATCACAGTCACGAGTCAAAATTACTAGCCAGTCAACACAGTCAATGACTCAGAGTCACAAGTTACGCATGTTCTTCACCGAAACAAAATCAAAAAAAAAAAAAGGAAAATTAAATTATATGAATCTATGTATATATACGTGTTAATAAGTTCTAGGCTAAGAAAGTAATGATTTGATTCAGAGGAGTTTCGTGGAAGACATGACGACGGTGATCGGAGAGACGAGCATTGTTAATCGACGGTGAAGTTAATTTCGCCGGAATGTTCATTTCTCCGGCGGTGGTTGAAAAAAAGATTAAGAAGAGGTTTTTTTTTTTCTATATGGTTTTAGTTTTCGTACAAGAGCGTTTTGGATTAGGTGAGTGGGTGAGTTTGGGTTTTATAACTTGTAATAGCTGCTGATTTGGATTTTGTGCCACGTGGAATCTTACGTGGCGTTCATCATTTGGGTAGTGTGGTTTTGATAAAACTACCCTAGTGCTACTGTAGGGTGTTTGATTGAAGCATTTGTAGTGTGACGCGTGTCCTAAATGATTGTTTCTTCGCAGAGATGAAATTACGATGGGACCCTTGTTTGTTTTGTTTGGTAGTGGTTGTTTGTATGAAACTATGGATGGATTATGGAATATAGAAAACCATCCATACTGTGTTGCGACAGTGGGCTTTATTGATTGGATCATAATTTGTCGTTTTTTGTATACATGAATTATTTGAGTTTTTCACACAATTTAAGAAAATAATTATGAATAAAAAAATTATTTTTCTTATAAAATCTAAAATAAAATATATTTAATTAAAAATTGTGAATGCAACATTAATTAAATAGTCTATTTAAAAATAAAATTAATTTGAACTAAAAATAGCAAGAGTAAATTATTTTAGAATTTTTTATGAATATTTATTAAAATTGTTATTAACTATTTATATGGTGATGAGATAACTCAATTAATAGTGTGTTAGTTGAGATAAATGTGTGTATTATGATGGTCAGTATTTAAAATATAGTTAAGATCGTTGAACTTAATTTTCTTAATGATAAGATAAATATTTATATGAGTGAATTAAATGGGATCACAAGAAAATAAATTATTTAGAAAACACAAAAAAAATATAATTATTGTATCTGTTCTTGAAGAACAATGTTATAACTTTTTCAGAGCTGATATGGAGAAGTCGTTGTATTATTAGGGTTTTATGCTTTAAGGATTGCTTGCTTTCAATTGTTTTCGGACTAATCTTTTATAATATTTATATCTAATGATGACATTATATTGTATTCATGACCCTTAATTGTTGTGGTTTCCTTGTCGCATGGGAAGCCATAAATGACATTGAATTCTATTGATGGTATTCTGGATTGGGCCTGCACTTGACCCAAACATCATACAAGGCCCAATCCGACCGTGCTACATGGGATAACTTGCTAACAACGACTGTCATTGACTAGCTCGGGACAACTCCAAGAGTGGCGAGGAGGGCCGAAGACAATCAGGAGGGTCTCACAAGCATATCCCGCTTTTCTTGTCGACCAAGGCAAGTCCTCCGGGGATAACTTCACAGTTGACGGGGAGAGTCCACGACGGACAGAAGTACCTCGCGAGCATCCTCCTCGTAGGACTGACTCTCAACACCTCCAAATAACACGGAGTCCTCTTGGTCCCGAAAAGGCCGCATCCACATCCTCCTGATAGTACGGTGGTGTACGTCTAGGTTTTGGACCACGTGTTGGCCCCCACTACGCACGTAGGACCTGACAGTCTCCATTTTAGGCATGTCTGTCCAGCCCAACGGTGGGGATCTTGGCCCAGTGCTGGGGGTTATAAATACTCCCTCACTTGAGAGGGTCATGTATTGATTCTTTAACTCACATACTCTCATACTTGCTAGCACTCTCCTAGAATCTTATTTTAGCATCGAAGTGTCTTGCAAGAACCCCCCATTTCACATCAAACTGTAACGCCGTTAATTTAATTAATTATTTAATTAAATTATTTGTTGAAAAGTTGTGAGATATTGGGAATTGTTGGTATAAGTTGTTAGATTATTATTAATTAATTAATTAGTTGATTAATAATAATAATAATGTTGGAATTAATGGAATAATTGTGTTGGGCCTATTTTATTGGTTGGAAGTAGTAAAGTGGGGGTGTGAAATTTAAGTCCAATAGGATTAATGGTATAAGGTTAATCTGACACAAGGATTTGGTTATTTGGTGAAATAAGAAGTCTCGTGTGTGACCTTGTGAAGCTTCATGGAAGAGAGGAGCAAGTTACACGGTTGTCGAGCAGAGCAAGGCAAGACCGTCGATCGGAGTTTGGTAGAGCGACCTTCAATCCAGGTAAGGGTGGGGTTCTAACCTTATAATGGGATTGATGATGATCGTTATGGAGGAATTGGTCGTATTTATGACTGTTGTACGTTGATGTTCGTGATCTGTTATTGAAGTTGTCCGTTTTCTATGCTTTGCTCGTTTAGAGAGTTACCATGTGACTGTCTCGTATGAGTAACGAATATGTTATTGAAGTTGGTCGTTAGTCATGTTAGGGGCATTTTGAGTTGTCTGTATAATTGGCCGGTATAATCGATGAATATGTTAGTGTAGATTATTGGTTGTTGATATGGTCATTAGGTTGCTGTATCTTCTGAGCGGTTGGCAGGAAATTAGTAAATTATTGTTGTGGTCGTTTTAGGAAGGTTTCTGCGTGACTGTCTTGTACAACTAATGAATCTGTTGATAGAAAATATAGTGGCCCAGTGTTGTGGTATTCCGAGCTGTTGGCCAGAAATTATGGGTTGTATTGATATGGTCGTTATAACATTGTATTGTTCCATGTTGTTGGTCGTAATTAGTGGTCAAGGAGGATGCTGATGGTGTTAGGTGTCGAGCGACATTTAGGCTGCGAGGTGTATCAGGGAATATATGTGTTGGATGTAAAGCGACATTAGGCTACAAGGCGTGCTGAGGAGCACAATATTGTTGTCGAGCTGGATGAAGTTGCAGGCTGTGTCAAGGAGAACAAAGTAGTTGTTATTCTGTCTTGGTTGTTGTGCATGTCGAGGAGCACGTAGTCTCCCTATCCCTATTTCCCGTGCATGCTGTTTTGGTCGATACCAGTGCTGTGTAAGTTGTTCTGAGTTGAGAAATTGCAGGTTGATGATTTATGTTGAGATGCCTTTAATTATGGGCAGATATTAAGTTGTAGGCTTATGGTCAGTGTTGAATTAAGTTGAATTATTATTGTTGTTGTTGTTGTTATTATTACGTTCATGTTGTTAATGCATACATAGCATAACATGTTGGAGTTGATGCTCGTTAAGTTGGCCTGGATTGGCAAATACAAAGTTGAAGGCTTATGCCTTGTTGATGCCTCTATTTATTGGCAGATTTTTAAGTTGGGAGTTCTGCTCCATTGGTACCACATGCATGTGCATAAAAAAATAAGTCGTATTCCATGTTGCATTCTGAGTTGTTGTGTGGCTGAATACATGATGATAATGTTGTTAAATAGTTGCGAAGTGGTGTTTTTGTATGAACTGTTTCTAATGTATTATTTATCATACATCCGATTATATTGTTTGATATCTCACCCCTTCTATTTGAATGTTACCCCTATGTTGGTAACGTGCAGGTAATCCAGAGTGAAGGCGGCTTACCTTTAGTAGTTCGAGTCTGTGTCATTGCTCTAATACGTAACACTCGGGGGGGATGAATGCTTGATGCCTTATCATTGTTATTACTTCAGTTGTTGAATTTTAATTTGGTTTTGTTAAGTACTTGATATTTGGATATGTTTCAGTTGGATAAAGATGTTATGCCCTTTTTAGTTGAATATTATGATTCCGCTGCGTGGTTATGAAAGTTGTTAGTTTTAAAAGATTAATTTATGTTGTTGTTTGTTCATCCAAGTTTAATGTGTTATATATCTATAATGAATGTCGTTATTTTAAGTTGATATTGTAGCATCCTGATTTAGTTGTTGAATTTTTATAACTCTAATTTTTATAATAATTGTTGGGTAGAATTGGGGTGTTACAAGTTGGTATCAGAGCAAGTCGGTCCGTCTGATCAAGTTATCGAGTCGTAGTTTTGTCTAACAATCGAGCATTGTTAAATTGATTTCTAATCATTGTTTATGTTGTAGTGTTAAGTTGAGATGGCTGGAAGGAATGATGCTGCACTTGTTGCTGCTTTAGAAGCAATGGCACATGCTATGGAGAATCATCCAAACACTGAAGGGAATGCTGGATCTCGTAGTTTGGCGACCTTCCAGAGGGAGAATCCGCCTACCTTCAAGGGTAAGTATGATCCTGATGGAGCGTTGGATTGGTTGAAATAAATTGAGAGAATCTTCCGTGTGATGGACTGCACTCCAGCGCAGAAGGTTCGTTATGGTACTCATATGCTAGCAGTCGAGGCTGATGACTGGTGGCTAGAGACTTGTCAAAAATTGGAATCTGCGAGTGAAAATGTTACTTGGGCTGTGTTCCGTAGGGAATTTCTGAGGAAGTATTTCCCTGAAGATGTTTGTGGCAAGAAGAAAATTGAGTTTCTTAAGCTGAAGCAAGGGAGTATGTCGATTGTTGAATATGCTGCAAAGTTTGCCGATTTAGCTAAGTTTTACCTGCACTACATAGAGGCAAATGCTGAGTTTTCGAAGTACATCAAGTTTGAGAACAGGTTGCGCCCAGAGATCAAGAAGGCAGTTGGATACCAGAAGATCTGTGTCTTTGCTGATTTGATTGATAGTTGCAGGATTTATGAAGAGGATAATAATGCTCACTATAAGATTATCAATGAGAAGAGGGGTAAGCACCAACAGAACTGTGGTAAGCCTTACGATGCCCCAGCTGGTAAAGGTAAACAAAAAGTTGCTCAGGGTCAGAGAACTAGTGGGGGAGATGCTCCTGCTGGT